ATAGAAAAAAAGATCGGATCATTCAAACATTTCTCTGATATGCTCAGGTGTTTACCCTTGGAGACATTACCGTATCATTGTTTTGGGGAATTCAAGGGTAGGCAACATATGTATAGCGCCGAAAAGCTACATAGCGGGGGAGTGAAATTCAAAGCCGCCGGAAGATATCCTTTCTCCTTGTATGTGAAATTTGTTGATGGTTGTTTGAAGATACCCACTTTAATAGTTGATGAAGATGCAGAGATAACACTTAGGAACATAATGGCGTTCGAGCAATGCCACTGCCGTGACAATCCTCACGTCTGTAACTACGTCTTGTTCTTTAAATTCCTCATCGACACCGAGAAAGACGTCGAATTTCTCGTCCAAAAAGGTAAACCTTTTATCGTATAAGTCTATTTCTGTTTGTCTTGATGTGTGTGTGAGTATTGATACGTGATGGTTTTGGTTTTTGTAAGATATAATAAAGAATAGGATTGGTAACCATGGTTCGGTGGCTACGATGGTGAACAAGCTCTGTTTGGGAGTCATCGACTTTGGCTCTTACCATTCTATGATCGAATCAGACGTCAACGCTCACTACAAGAGTCGATACAAAAAGGCACTCGTCATTCTCAAGCGCGTGTATACAACAATCTTTGGAGAGTTACCGACACCATAAATGTTGCATGTATATTGCCACCGACTCTTATCCATCTCCTTAAAACGCACTTTATTGAAGAACTCATGTCCGATTTTATATGTTGTCCTTAATGTTAAAATGATTTAGCTAGTTGTAACTAGCATGATCTGTTTTCTCTTCTCAAAAACAAGTCTTTAATAGTATTACCAATCTATCTTTATGATATCCAAATTGATTCTGATGTTGTACTCTTATTTTATTCCGAGAGTTGATTTGTAACCACAAACTCTATATGGTATATGTATTAATGTATACTGTATGGTATCAATTATGTTATGGAAAAATTCGTCAGTCTTATATGATGTTGAAGTTGAGCAATACAAGTTAAGGTTGTTGCGTATAAATCAGTGAGCTGTAAAAGGAAAATAAATATAGAGCACACAAGAGTATCATCTCAATTGAATTGGAAAATAACATTTGAATGTAATATGCATGCATGCAATGGTTCTATTTTTCTCTAAAAGAAAGCTAGTAATTTATTATAATTATTTTTTCTTTTGGAAAATAATATGTTTAGTAAAA